GTTATCCCCACTCCTATTTGTTGTCGTCATGGATGCCATTACGAGAGATCTCCAGAAGCCGGCTCCATGGACGCTTCTTTATGCTGATGACGTGATGCTCGCTAGCGAAGATAAAAGCACGCTCGAGCAACAGGTGCAAGCCTGGTCCGACCGTCTGGCTATGTTCGGGCTCAAGCTGAACGTCAAAAAGACTGAGTACTTGACCACCGATTCGAGTGAGTTAGGCTCTATTAAGATCAATGGTACTGAACTCACTCGTGCAACATCATTCAAGTATCTTGGATCAGCAATCGCGTCTGACGGCAGCCTGGTCTTCGAAACGAATTCTCGCGTGAATGCAGCCTGGTCGAAATGGCGCTCGATGACTGGCGTTCTCTGCGATAAAAACATGCCAGAACGTCTCAAATCTAAGATCTATAGAACCGTCATCCGGCCGGTCGCGATTTACGGTGCTGAGTGCTGGCCTACGACTAAAGAGGTCGAAGCCGTCTCAGTGTGATGGAGACAAGATGCTGCGTGGACAGCCGGAGTCACACGAGTAGACCACATTCGAAACGATGTCATCAGAGAGCGATTCGGGGTGGCTCCAATTGTCGACAAGATGCGCGAAGCCCGTCTTCGATGGTATGGTCATGTCCTTCGCGCGAAAGATGACAGTGTCCGTAAGATCGGTCTCAACCTTGACGTGCCCGGAAAGCGGCCTAGGGGACGCCCGAAGCAGCGATGGCTCGATACGTTGCACGAAGACTTGAAGTCGTTAACATCCACCCCGATCAAGCATTTAATCGGGAAAAGTGGCGTCAACACATCAGAAAAGCGGACCCCGCCTACAAGCGGGACAGACGCTAAAGAATAAAGAAAGAAGACGGAGAATAACAACCTCACGTAAATAAGAACGACGCTGACATAAAAATTAACAGCTACTCATCAAATAACTAATTTATCATGTAGATTCGAGAGCTATTTTGCCGAATTCGCTTCGGAATTGAGAAGTTTCCAAACTTTTGACGCGCCATTTCTTATAAAAATTCGTATTTTTCAAATGCGATTTTTTCAAAAAATTATGTTGCTCATCGTAATCTACACTTGATTCTGTGTATAATGTGTGATTCGGGACAACTTCATTGCCTATTGACTACACCAGATCAAAAATAAAATTCGTAGAAATTCTAGGGAGTAAAGTGGTCGAATGACTTCTGTTGATGACAGCGAAAACGCAAACGAAATGCTATTGAAAATAAATGCAGTTTTATCCAATATCTGGTTTGAAGTGAGTTCTATGTTCGTACGCATATCACATTATCAGCCCTTATCAGCTGTTATCATTTTCTCTCCACCACTCAGGATGTCCCTCCACCCTCCACATCATTTGCTAAGGGCTAGCCTCACTGCTTGGCATACGTGCTATGAATTTCGTGAACTTGCATTTTGGCGCTTATCGGCGCTTTTAGCTGTCTTCGATTTTGGCCCACCAAAAATGTTACAGCTCTACTCTCCACATCACGCGTAAGAACCAGCTTTCCACCACTGCTGACCCGTGCTATAAAATTCGTGACACACACACAGACGTGGCGCTTTATATAGTGGTATATATTAAATATATATTTATTTATAGTGATAGAATTGACTATGAAGCCACCCAGAAATATGAGAAATTGATAATGATGAAGAAGGAAGCTCATGAGGCCTGCGAAGGTACTCAAGCCACCTAAGCACTGGACCCCACGTAATTGTAAGCAATCGTGAAACGTGCAACTGTAGGGAATAGAACTTAAAGGCAAAGGTCGGGCTCAGACACGCTAGAGAAGTAATTCCCGTGCCTGGAGGTTGTATGTGGGTAGCTGCACACATTGCAGCAACTTCCCACCTTGAAAAACCCCGTTAAGGCCCCGGGGCGTTCGGTTTCAATCCAGGGCCGCCTGGTCAATCCAGGACCGCCCACCTCCGGAAGTGGTGCGTGGCTGGCATAACGTGTGAAATCAGCTAGGTTGATTGCCGTATCAACCGATAGAACGACTGACATCTCCAGAAAACTTGTTTGTACGTGCCTCTTTCCCAAGCCAGCCTCCTTCACTGCTAGTGGGAAAGAGGGTTTTGTTAACGGCCTTGTCGACGGTTTTTCTCAGTTTTTTCTCCACTGTCGTTCCACTTCGCATCTCTATACTCACCAGGAAGGTCTTTCAGGGCGTGACAAGCTTTTTGAAAACGGTCTTTTGCATGATATAGGGGCAGATGCGGGAACCACAGAACCATGTTCAATTTTTCCTGAACGGCCCTCTGAATACCAGAAAAGGAGGTCCCTAGTTCGATTCCTCGTGGTAACAAATTTTTGCATTTCGAGTTGACGTGCCAAAATTCGCGCAAAATGGAGTTAGAACCAACCAGAACAATCAGAGAACTCCATTTTGCGCGAATTTTGGAACGTCAACTCGAAATGCAAAAATTTGTCACCAAGAGGAATCGAACTAGGGACCCCTTTTCTGGTATTCAGAGGGCCGTTCAGGAAAAATTAAACATGGTTCTGTGGTCCCCGCATCTGCCCCTATATCATGCAAAAGACCGTTTTCAAAAAGCTCGTCACGCCCTGAAAGACCATTTAACTTCGTTGAGCGCGGCCTATGCGCTTCAAATTGCCCCTGGGGGTAAAAGTGGGCTGCTGTTCCAGCATTCTTTACTCCATTTGCTTACAGTGTTTATGGTGTTTGGGAGAGCGATTTGAATAATAAAAAACTGTAAGCATTGAAGATCTTAAGTCTAACGAACTGGTAGTGGTCTGCTGCTGATGTGTTGCCTCTTTTAATCCATGAACAGAGCTCGTCCTGGAGCGTGTAAGGAATGCTGCAGTCTTCGCGTAAGGTTGCACTTCGTACATCATCGCTGCCTAAAACTCATCTATGAGAGCGATTGATTGAAGCAAGTTTTATATAGAGGAGTACGAGTTTAACTTACTTGTTAGAGCTTGCTGAGCTTTTGAAGGTTTCGTTGAGCCTCCAGTAGGGCGTGCGGTATGCGTAGTCCAGTATGTCAAGCTTCCACTTTTTGTTGGATACTTTGTAACGATCGAGTCTACTCTCCCTGTAGTTGGTCTTCGGGAGACAGGAGAATAGAAGGACGCAAGAAGCTCCGTGGATAGGTCCATCCTAGAGTGTTGCGCTGTGCGAAAGAGGGAGGTGGAAGGTAATCTGGTATGTTTGGCGCGTGTGGTTGCATAACGGCGGTCATATGTGATATCGTGGTGAAATTGGGTTGTAAAGTGTATAGAGGTTTGACGCGTTCTCGTGATAATGTTGACACCTGATTTGCTGTTGTTTCATTTTGTAAAGGAGAGATTGACGTTGTATACGATACTGCAGAAGTTGAAGGCTCGAATGACGAAACGGTAATGTTGCGTCGACTTTGCGTGGTGATTTTAGAAGTTTGCGAGGTGGATGTCACTAAATCCGTGCCAAAGCTCGATAGATTGTTAGTCTGCTCTTTTTTGGGTGCTGATACTGTGAAAAAAGATGACTTTTCCTCCTCACCTTTACTTGGCAGCGTTCCAGTAAACCTCGAGGAAGGCCACACCTCCGTTGTTATTTTTCCCATCCTCGAGTTCTTTGCCATCTCAAGTGTCAAAGACGTGCTTTCGGTCGCTGCAAACGTTTCCGACAAAACATGTGTTGAACTTGGGAAACAAATCGCACAAAACTTATACTCCAATGGTGTATAGCCTGATTTGGTGGTCTTAATTTTGCTGATTGGTTTGGTGTGTGATAGCTTTTTGGGCGTCATTTTAGTAGAACTTGAAATAATCACCCCTTCCTTAGATGCCATTTGTGGGGTTTCGTGATCTTGTGATAGGTTAGTTGTCGCCGCTGTTTCAGTCGATGGAGGACTAGTGGACGAAAGAATAATGGTAGATACTAAGTTCTTGCCTGTCAAGGACGTTGTCATGAAATGAGGTTGCGATCCTATGCTCAAAGTACGAGAGCTTAAGAATGGGTTTTTTGTGGTCCTTCGTACCATTGTTGACCTTCCTATGGTGCTTCCATTAACCCGTCCCCGATCACGTTTTCTGCTGGTTTTCTGGCGAGATGAAGATGAACGCTCCTGCGCAGTTGACCAACGTGTTGATTGCTCCTCTGCGACTGTTGCGTTGGGCATTCCAGCCGTCTTGCTGCTCTTTGTGGGAATAGACTTATGAGAAGTACCTTCCTCCGAAGTCGTCACGATGTTCAGCGAGGGAGTTCTGTTCTGTTCAATAGGTGCCTTCTGAGATGTAACCAGAACAGGCAGTGTTCCCGAGACAAATGGCTCAGTGCTCGTGTGCTCTTCTTCAGAAACGCCAACTGATAGCGGCGAAGTTTGAGTACTTGAGGCAGTACTCAGAGTGTGATTCATTTGTTTACTTTCAGAAGTGTAATCTGGAGATTCAGTTTCCCTGACGCTAGTGGTCTTTTTGTGTGTGGAAAGGAGTTTAGTTGGAATCGATGCTGAGGGAGTTGAAAGGTCTCCTTGACGTCTCCGTAGGTATTGCTGAATTTTTTGAATGCTTATCACTTGACGCAAATATTGTTGCCGTTGTTCCCGTACTCTCATGGTCAACTGAGGTCTCACTTGTTGATGCAGAGGTATTTTTGTATGGGACAGAAGGCTGAGATGAAACTCCTGCTAAAGGAGATGGTGAACCTTCTGATGTGTTCCCAGATCCTGCAGTAATCCTAGATCCTGATGTGCTTATCATTGGATCAACAGTTGAAGGAACTGCTGTTGCCGTTGTTCCAATGCTGTCATAATCAACTGGGGTCTCACTTCTCGTTGATCGAGAGGTATTTTCGTATGGGATAGAAGGTTGAGTTGAAACTGTAGCGGAAGGAACCGGTGAATCTTCTGATGTGTGCCTAGATCCTGTCGTGCTTTTCATTGGAACAACAGTTGTTAGAAGTGCTGTTGCCGTTGTTCCAATGCTCTTATAGTAAACTGGGGTCTCACTTTTCTTTGATACGAGGGTATTTTCGTATGGGAGTGAAGGCTGAGATGAAACTGCTGCGGAAGGAGTCGATGGACCTTCTGGTGTGTTCCTGGATCCTGCTGTGTGCCTAAATCCTGTTGTTCTTTTCATTGGATCAACAGTTGAAGGAACTGCTGTTGCCGTTGTTCCAATGCTGTCATAATCAACTGGGGTCTCACTTCTCGTTGATCGAGAGGTATTTTCGTATGGGATAGAAGGTTGAGTTGAAACTGTAGCGGAAGGAACCGGTGAATCTTCTGATGTGTGCCTAGATCCTGTCGTGCTTTTCATTGGATCAACAGTTGAAGGAACTGCTGTTGCCGTTGTTCCAATGCTGTCATAATCAACTGGGGTCTCACTTCTCGTTGATCGAGAGGTATTTTCGTATGGGATAGAAGGTTGAGTTGAAACTGCTGCGGAGAGGAGTCGATAGACCTTCTAATGTGCTCCTAGGTCCTGTGGTGCTTTTTATCGGATCAACTGTTGATGGAAGTGCTGTTGCCGTTGTTCCAATGCTCTTATAGTAAACTGGGGTCTCACTTTTCTTTGATACGTGGGTATTTTTGTATGGGAGTGAAGGCTGAGATGAAACTGCTGCGAAAGGAGTCGATGACCTTCTGATGTGTTCCTGGATCCTGTTGTGTGCCTAGATCCTGTTGTGCTTTTCATTGGAACAACAGTTGTTGGAAGTGCTGTTGCCGTTGTTCCAATGCTCTTATAGTCAACTGGGGTCTCACTTTTCTTTGATACGTGGGTATTTTTGTATGGGAGTGAAGGCTGAGATGAAACTGCTGCGAAAGGAGTCGATGACCTTCTGGTGTGTTCCTGGATCCTGTTGTGTGCCTAGATCCTGTTGTGCTTTTCATTGGAACAACAGTTGTTGGAAGTGCTGTTGCCGTTGTTCCAGTGCTGTCATAATCAACTGGGGTCTCACTTTTCGTTGATCGAGAGGTATTTTCGTATGGGATAGAAGGCTGAGTTGAAACTGCTCCAGAAGGAGTCGACAGACTTTTCAATATGTTCGTAGATCCTGTTCTGTTTTTCGTTCGATCAACACCTGATGGAGATGCTGTTGTCTTAACTCTAGGGCTCTTAGGGGAGACACTCGTGCTTGTTTCTGCATGCTTCGGTTTCTTTTCCGGTGATTCTGTGGAAGTTCGATTATTCAAAAGAGGTCTCTCCGGAGGGGTTCGTGATAGAGGCGTCGGATGCCAAGTTGTACACTCCGGGTGGCCATAAAGGTTACTAGGCAAAGCAGTGCACTTAAATTCGAATGGATTCATGCAGTATTTCAAGTCCTCACAAGGGCAAACAACAATTGTACAGCCCTTGTAGCGAGTGAAAGGGAAACACCGGGGTGTTTCAGCGGTACGGTTTAAGATATCATAACAAAATCTTCGAAACCAGCTGCTGCCATCCCAGTAACATTCATGTTGTCCGTGAACCAATTCAGGATCGCAAGCATTCCTTCCTCTTGGTGAGGTTGACGCATCATTGCTTGTTGTTTTGTTTGATATAGGAACGTAATCAGGTATTGTTTCGGTAGATAATGGAAAAGATGAAAAAGTACTAGCTGTTGCGGAAGAATCACTCTTGGGTGACGTAATGGTAATGTTGTGAAGATTTGGTGTTGTGGTGTTAGCAACATACGAGGGAGATGTTAATAAATCTGTTCCAATGCTCGATAAACTGTTATCCTGCCCTTTAGTGGATGCAAGCTCTGTAGTAAGAGACGTTTGCTCTTCCTCACTCACAGTTGACAGGCTCTCTGAGATCGACGAAGGCGACACCTCCGTTGTTACTTTTTCTGTCGGCGAAGAATACCCAGCGCTCGTCTGCTCCTCATCGGATACGCCGACCGATGACGATGAAGCTTGAGTGCTTAGAGCTGTGCTGTGAGTGTGAATTGTTTGTGTACTTTCAGAAATGTGTGAAGGAATTTCAGTTCCGTTTACGTCAGTGGTGATTTTGTTAGGGGAAGAAAGCAGAGTTGACAGGCTCTCTGAAATCGACGAAGGCGACACCTCCGTTGTTACTTTTTCTGTCGGCGAAGAATACCCAGCGCTCGTCTGCTCCTCATCGGATACGCCGACCGATGACGATGAAGCTTGAGTGCTTAGAGCTGTGCTGTGAGTGTGAATTGTTTGTGTACTTTCAGAAATGTGTGAAGGAATTTCAGTTCCGTTTACGTCAGTGGTGATTTTGTTAGGGGAAGAAAGCAGAGTTGACAGGCTCTCTGAAATCGACGAAGTCGACACCTCCGTTGTTACTTTTTCTGTCGGCGAAGAATACCCAGCGCTCGTCTGCTCCTCATCGGATACGCCGACCGATGACGATGAGGCCTGAGTGCTCAGAGCTGTGCTGTGAGTGTGAATTGTTTGTGTACTTTCAGAAATGTGTGAAGGAATTTCAGTTCCGTTCACGTCAGTGGTGATTTTGTTAGGGGAAGAAAGCAGAGTTGGAATTGGTGTTGAAGGAGTTGATAGACCTTCGGTTGTTTTCGCAGGCCTTGCTGAGCTATTGGTTTGCTCAACATTTGATGGAATTTTCGTTACCAATTTCACAGTGCTTCTATGGGAAACATCTGTGCTCGTTTTTGCATAAATCGGTTCGCTTTTCGGTGG